TATATATATATATATATATATATATATATATATATATATGTATGTATGTGTGTGTGTGTATCTATATTGCAAGGTCAAAACTAAAAAAGAAAGCACAAACTATCTTAGTTATGTAATTGTTTAAAGGAATTCAATAGTTTATTCCAAAATGACAAAAAAAAAAAAAAACTTTTGCTTTTGTTTGTTTTCAAATGAAGGTCTAGATTTGCTAAAAATGGCCTTGTGGCTATCTCCCTCCCTCCTCCTTTTGTATCCAAACAGAATTCAATATCTCTTCTGGCTCCGGTGTCAAGTGCTGACTTTAGACTTCCCCTCGTTTAGTTCAGCTTCTTGCAATAACATTTCTGTGATAAGCTGCAGTAAAAACAAAATAAAAAAAACACACACAGCAAAGATAAACCTGATGAGTCAAATTTAGATGCAAAGCTTATCTGAACATGAAGAAAAAATTGTAGCTTTCAAAATCTAAGGGTTACTGACAGAAATCAACCACTCAAATCATCCTGTTTCTAGCTTTACAGCAGCTAAGCTCACATATGACTGAAAAAAATAAAACCTTTTAATCAGAATTCATTTCTCTATCAAACCTTTATTGAGAATGATAAAAAAACAAGCCTCATAATTACAGTGACCAGTGTTTGAAAACTGTTCTTGAGCAAATTTCCTGTGCAGATGACTCAAACAGCACTAAAAATGCATAGATGTGAGTTAACTTTGGCACATGTGTCCGCTATCTGTCTCCAGAGACAAAGTGGGGGAGTAGCATTGGGACCTCAGAACCAGCTCCCAGGCGTGGTCCACCCTCAGCAGCAGTTTTACCCCTCACAGCCCATTCATCCGCATGACATACCGCTACAGGAGGTCCCAGAGGGCCACGACATGTGTCCTACAGGTAAGAAATTAAAAAGAATTATGTCCCTTTGAACATGCAAGCTGCAGGTAACAGTGAAAAAACTCTAATAGCATAAAAATTTGATGATCCACAATGATAGCTTTAGAAAGGTTACATATGAGGTTCACAAAAGGCCAATCTAAAGTGCCAAAAAGAGTCCTGGAAAGTTTTTTTTTTCTTTTATGATCCAAATTTGTTATGTTAGAATAACTATATTAAATTTATTTTGTTTGATAGGATTTTATATGGGAGACCAACACAAGTCAGCATGTAAGTAAGAAGTGGAAAGAGAATGATACATACATTAAAATGACTTCAACTTTATACATTTTGCAGAGAACTGTTGCATAGACAACCTTAATTAGAACATATGTCATAATTCTAAACCCAACAAGACCTGGCTCTTCCTATAAATCAACCGCCTGGTGAAGGAACCAATAGGCATATGTTAACTCTAGAGGTGCTGTAAAGAAAAATGTACCATTTAAGGAGTGTATTGAGTGATAAGAGGAAAGCAGTTGTTAAAAACAGCTAGAAGTCATTTTTGCATTTTGCTTAAAGTAATGTAGGGAAAAATGCTGTAATAGCGTTACTTATTTAGCAGTTAGTTGCCAACAGTATAAAATATCACTGAGAATTAAACAATTTGTCTCAAGTTGTTGGTCACACTAATGCTGATGTTTGTGATTGGCAACACACAGAACTACAGTTGAACTCCATTTTAACTTGCTCACATTTTCCAAACTCAAAGTCATGTTTCAATCGTTTCAGACAACATAGGATTGACTGAAAGCATTTTTCAGGAAAATTCTTTCATATTTTATTGTAAACTGCTGCAAGCTCAGGACTTGTCTTAATCTGAAACCTGAAACTAACGTGGAGATTCATTGCAGTTGAGTTTTGAGGTTGAGAGATTTTCATCTGCTTAGAACAACTTATGCAAGCAAACTTGCACAAAAGCTCACACATGAAGTCTCAGTTTTGCCTGTTCTTCTGCCGCACAGAGAGTGAAGGTGGTTCTGACTCTGAGGGCAATGCCTTTACCAGATAACCCCATTCCAATCCCTCTGTTTATTACGTCTTCCTCCTGCTGTACTTTGGGAGGACAAAGGCATTCCCTGAATATTCACAGCCCCTATCACCTCTCCTTCTCAGTTTTATTTAATTGTTTACCAAAGCAGTTTTATTTTAAGCTGGAACATTCTTTACAGAGCATTTCCCTGTGTTTGACTCTGGCCTCTTGTGGTCCTTAAAAGTGATTGATGCTGGTGGACTGGGACGCACACCACGGGAGGAGGGTGGGGGTGCCTGGGGGACACAAGCTTTCTTCCGTCACCTCCCTGTGCTGGATGCAAGGGGGCAAGACAGGGGTCTAAAGGGCGGCCATCTTTTTCCCAAGCCTCAAGCTTGGTCCCAGGAGAGATGGTAGTGAGGGAGGTGGGGTCCAGGGAAGGAGCTGGGGCTAAGTAAGCAGATGTGTGAGTGTGTGTGTGTGTATGCATATTTGTGCTTGTATGAGAGGGAGTGAGGATTTTGATGGGATTTGCTGATGTTAGTTGCCAGTAATACACTCCTTTGGAGCCTTTGCTTCATTCCTCCCAGTGCTAAACTGTTGACGTAAACATTGCTGCTGAGTGGAAAAAAAATGACCGAGTGTTGACCTTTTTCGCTGTTGTCAGCCTCTTGAATCAAAGCACACCACATTTTCACCATTTTTAGACACCTGGAGATGCTGAAGCCGTGTAGGTCCTCGCAGTGGTGTCATAAAGAGTTGCTGAGGTTTCTGTGCTACAGGCAAATGCCGTTATGAGTTGTTACTAACCTCAAAAGCAGCAAGGAACCTCTGACACAGTCTCCAAATGCTGAGCCGTTGCTTTGACTCATTTCTTTCAAACTGAACAGAGTCTCTCTTGAAAGAAAAGGCACTTGCTTTTTCCAAATCAGGTTTTTATAAGTATTCATACGCATTTAACTTTCTGAAGGTACAGTATGTCATCTTGCAACCACAGACTACAATGCAATTTATCACAACTTGAAGAACTGTTCTCAAAAGTAAGAAAAAAAGTCAAATTAAATGTTGCAATGCTCTATTCGAAGCCTTAAAATTATTTTATCTAAATAACTTCTCTGCACCTCTAAGTTTTGGGTTGATTTATTGCTGAGGGTTGCAGTGGCCTCTCATTTTTTTCATCTCTGAGTAGTGTCAGTATGCCATTGAAGATAAGCATTCCTACCCTCAGATACTGTCATCATTCACTATCATTGTGCTCAGGGTGAAGTTCAACTTTATCTAAAAGATCAACTTAGTCTCGTCTAAGCGAGGACCTTATTCCAGGACTATAAGCTGAGTTGTCGACGTTTACTCCAGGCCAAGATGTTGATGATTTCAGCTCCTCCAGAGTAATGTCATTTTTGCTGATCAACTATATTATGTGACTAATCATACTAGGTTTCATACACAGGTTGAAACACATGTATCTTGTTACGCAGAACTAAAATGCATGAGTCAAAATATGTTTTCTGTTCTTACACTTCAATTATCTGATATTGTACTGACCAATCATATAACATTTTAATAAAACACATTTAAATTTGTAATTGCTCTAGAAAAAATTGCAAAAAGTACAAAAGTTACTATTACAAGACATTGCAAAGGAGGCCAGAGATTTCCAAGATCACTGTTGAGTGAAAAACACTCATAGTGTATAGGTGTTCTGTTTATATCGTTACTGGATGTAACTGAGAAAAGTGCTGTATGTTCTTTTTAATCAAACGCATACAGCAAATGAAATGTTTAGAAATATCTATTTGTCTGTCTGTCTATGTATATATATATAATTCCTATAAATAATTAATTAAATAATTTAAGTTATGCAAAAATATCATGCAGTTATTTTGTACTGTTAATACCAGCACTTTTTTGTTTTATTTTATTTAAATTTACCTTTAGTGACAAAATCTGTATAATTGTATATCGGTTTAGCCGTCAGCAAACATGCCTTAGAATCACAATTTTATTTCAAGGTTTTACTGAAGAATTTTAGTTGAAGAGTTAAATATTTTTGAAGTAAAGTTATTCTTTTTCATTGCTAATAGATTGAGTGTTTGTAAAATGAAATTTGACAGTGTGAGAAAGAAACAGTTCAGAGCAGATGTGAGGCGTGGATGTTGGAAGTTGGTTTAAAAAAAGGAAAAAAAAAAGAGTGTTTGGCCCTGAGCCCAATGTCACACACACTCCTTCCTGACGACAGCCATGCGATGGTGATGTTTACACTGAAACAGCCTCACTTTTAAACCGCCCCACACTCACACTAAGGGGATCTGTTTTAAACTCTAGCTTTGGAAATTATCTGTATGTGTGAGTTTGGGAAAAAATAAAAAAAAGGAAAAGAAAGAATGATTAAGAGCATTTGTCTGCGCAGTTTCATTTAAAACCCAGGCTCAGATTTATCCTACATGCACGTGCACAACACTCTAACATCCTGCAGTGATGCACGCTACACATATCCATTCATTAAATTCACACCCTGCACTCTGGTGACTATTGTGTTACAGCATCCTTCCATTCAGTGAATGTAACACACACACACACATGCACACACCGATAGGACACTCATCCACTCCCAGGCACTTGTGAGTTCAGTGTACATTTAAACATGCACTCAGATTTAGTGCATGGAGCCACAGCTGTGATTTGGCACTCAGGGACCATTGGCCTGCGTTTTATTTGATGTGATTTGACAGCTGGACAGTTGGAAGAGGAGGGGAGTAGAGGGGGTTCAAGCAAAAGGAAGAGGGAGGAATACAGTTATAAGAGAGAGGACGGATAAGGAAATGGGATAAGATACAGGACTGCAACTGTAATAGTGGGAGGAGAGGAGATGAAGAGGAGGATCCAAGATGTGGAGCTCTGGGTTGTTTGGTGTTGATGGTGGGGAGAGGAGAGGAGAAGAGGGAAAGGGGGAGGGAAGGGGGGCTTCGCCTCTGATGAGGGGCACGTCCTCACGGGCGCAGGCCCATTTTTTATTTCTAAAAGTAAACAGGCGGCCTGCTGGGGTCCGGGGGGTTATGGGAAAGGAGGAAACAGTGATGCTAATCAGACCAGCGCACACTTCCCCCTCTAACAATATAACAAAACAAGAGTGGAAACACGGAAAACCAGCAGACAACTGTGGAGGAACGGGCTGCATAGTTGCCTTGGTCCTATATTTGAACTCACACAGTATGATGTAAACAGCATGGATAGTCAATTAACAAAGGAAAGAGACAATCTGCTTCTAGCAGCTGGAACATTTGTACAATTTAGTTTTAGGCTTTGCTGAATGAGGAGGGAAGGTACATTTGGTAAAATGGTATTTCTCTGGATCTTTATCCTTCTAAAAACACAGCCTTTCAATGGAGGCTTTTGCTCAGCTTCCTTTTACAAGCCATCTATTCTGATTTACTTAATACTGAGCCGTGACCTACTCATGTCAAGCTTTTATTTATTCATTTTTTTATTTATTTATTGGTGTAATTTATTTGGTACTGTGTTAGCCATGAACCTAAAACCTAAAAAGGATAAAGCACATCTTTAAGACTGATCTACTTTAAACGTGGTTAATTAAAGATAGTAATGTAAGGCATTTCAGCCGGCTTATAATTTGAGAAAAATCTACTCTAAGATGTTCTAATCTCGAGAGAAACTGGATAGGATGAGATGAGGAAGTTGTTTTAGTAAAATAAAAAATATATTTTTTCCCCCCTTTATTTTCCATAAGAAAAAAAATCACTGATTCTATTTGAAATATTATGTGATTAGTTCTGTAGCTCATAAAATGAAGTTTTTACTATTATGTAAACATAAGGAGGTCCAAAAGATGATTAAACCTTTTCTATTTGTTATTTACACAAATAAAGTTGTTTTCAAACATCTTAAGCCATATTTTAGGCCTATTTTTCTCAATATATAATTGTCTGCTGCACTTTAGGTTTAATCAGCCTTAGTATTAGATATTATT